TTCTGTGAATCATCATAAGTAATATGAAAAATCTTTAGGTATAAAAATATCCATTTGAGCACTGTTTATAATAGAAAATACTTCAACATAAAAGCCAACAATAGACAAGAGTACCCATGGCACAGCCTCTTGGCATCCATATACAACATGTTTCAAAGAAAATGTCATAATATGGGGAAATGTTAATGACATAAAGTTAAGTAAAAAGGCAGAATACAAATTATATAATTCCAGCTATTTTAAAATCTAAAATCTATTTATTAAAAAGGGTTGGAAGAAAAAATAAATTGATGGTGCCTGTGTTTTGATAGTAGGGGTTTTTTTAGGTATATTTTTTAATTTTCTCCAATTTCAAATAATGAACACGAGTTGCTTTTATAATTAAAAAAAATATATATATGATAAAATAAATACAGATGTACAATTTTCCTAACAGTATTCCATAAACAATTTTCTCATATTTCTTATGAAATAACACATCTTAGTAATATGAAATATTGGATAATGGTTACTTTCAAGAAGTGAAATAAGATAGTATTGTTAGTTTTGTTGAGTTATTTTATGGTTTAATGAGAACTAGTGAGGTTCAGCTATGAATGTAGATGTTAAACAGTGAACTGAATTGTAATAATTCTGAACACTTAGCAGTATTGTCAATAAAATTGTATTTATCTCTAGGGACTAGAGCAGCCAAATAATCATGCTTGTATTCAATTTAGTTTGGGACACTTTATGTTTTGTTGGGGTGGAAACAATTGTTCATGATGTGTACATTCTAAATGGTTTTAGAGTATCAACATAGCTTGGGTTCCTACTGGAATATCTGACATTTTTCTAGCTGAAGGTATAAACTTTATATTAGAAAAATAAGAAACAGTAGCAGAGGAAACTCAATTGTTTTTCTTAAAGTTAGAAATACTTTTACATCCCCAAGCATTGCTGGTAGGTTGCATTTTAACTGCATAGCCATTCTATTAAGTAATACTAATAATCCAACTTACAAACAAGGCCAAGGCTTAGAGTAGTTGAGAAACTTCTGCAAGATTATACAACCAGTAGATTACAGAACACTTATTTCTCCAGTTTTGTTTGGCCCTTGTGGTCGTTTTCTTTCTTTGCACGGGGACTGTGCAATATAAGCTATTGGACTATGGAGTCAGACTGCCAGGGTTCTGGCGTAAGTTACTTTATCTTGGTTCTTTAGTTTCCTCATCTGTAAAATAGGTAGAGTGAAAATAATAACTTGCAAAATTGACCTAAAGCCTGAGATAATGTTTGTGACACACATGAGGTATAAGAAACAGAGACTAATGAACTCTCATTATTATGCCTCCCCAACATGGAGAATCTGAAAGATACCAGCTTTAGAGAGACCGACATGGAAAATAGTGTGTGGCAAAGTGTATTCATTAAACCCTTTTTCCTCTTGAGGGCATTGCTAGACCATATTTCCAAGTTCTTTGCAGTAAGTTGAGGTCATCTGACTGAGTTCTGGCCAATGCAATGTGGGTGGAAATGACACACCTAGGTGTGGCTCCTAAAAGCCAGGATCTCACTCAATCCCTTGCCTTCCAGTCAAATGCAGGAGATGGAAGGCTGTGGATCTCAAAAGCCTACAGAGTAGACATCTCCACACCTCCCCTTACTTTATCACTATTTTAGATTGAGCAAGAAGCCACCGATGTATTTTTTTTTTATTTATTTACTTGAGAGAGAGAGAGAGAGAGCCAGTGAGCAGCAGGAAGGGCAGAGGGAGTGAGAATCTCAAGCAGACTCCATGTTGAGCACAGAGCCCAATATGGGGCTCTATTCTATGGTCTAGAAGTCACCACCTGAGCCAAAAATCAAGAGTGAGGTGCCTAACCAACTGAGCCACCCAGGTGCTCCTGAAGCCACTGATAATTTAAACAGCATTAGCCTACCTGACTAATAAGAAGTTTTTAATTTTGTCAACATACCTGGAAATGAACTTTGTCCCATTAGATTTAAGTGAGAAATAAATGAAGTGGAGATGAGGTGGAAGCACAGAGCTGAGTAGGAACCTGAGAGCCTGGGTTTGGTTGTGGTAGGGGCAAAGAATAAATGAATGGGCATATAGTTCTGGAGAAACCAGATTTAGAGCTTATCAAGAAAAGGAATGCTCAAGAAAAGCATGAAGAAGACACGAGGCTAAAGAGCTTGGAGAAGGAGGGAGTGAGATATTAAAAAACCTCATTTTAGCAAAACATGTGACAGCATAATACAAAATTATTGTAATAAGGTAAGTTAAACTGAAAAACAGAAGGTGAGAAAAGAAGGAAGACATTTTAATATAGATACTGTTTGTCCAGCAGCATTCTTCCACCAGATTCCCTAGAGAGAATGTAGAAAAATTGCTAAGGAGCCAAAGGAAGACAGACTTGCCAGAAAGAAAGGACTATAGCCAGAAGGCCCTGTAGCCATTTATGGTGCCAGCCCATCACTCCATCACCCAATGTGATTCAGTGGTTACCATCTGATGCTAACCATGTTACCATGGTTAACATCCCAGCACACCCTGGCCACGCCATCCATCCTAGGCATGCCGTGGCCCCCAGTCCTCTAGCCCCTTCCCCCAATACATGAACATTGTATTCTGAACCGGCAGCCCAAGGTTCCCATGGCAATCCTTCCATATGCCCCACTCTTCTGTCTCTCCATCTCACACACTTCTTTGCCTCCTTCTTGGCTTTCCATGGAGTTCTGTGTATGTCTATGTCTGAGTGTATGTGTGCATGTAATCTATGAGTCCTGCAGCCACTTTCAGCTCTGTAGACCAGAGCTTCTCAAAATTTGGCTGACATAAGAATCAATGGACACTTCATGGGCTCTCTGCCAGAAATTCTGATTCAATAGGTTGGGGATGTATGTGTCAGAATTTGCATTTCTGATAAGCCCCTCATTGGTGCCAATTTTGCTGGTCCAAACAACATGCCTTAAGGAGCACTTCCATTGAGGACTCACTCCACCACCTGTGCTGAATCTATCTCCTTTCCTTCCAGGTGGCCACTGCCCCAGCCCAGGCCTCCAGCAGAGCAGTGCTAGCTAGACAGCCAACCTTCCCCTCTCTCAGCAAAACAATGCCAGCCATGTATGCAAGACTGTGAGATGATTGCTACTATAGGAATGACCTTAAAACAATCTAATCCATTTTTATGAAGCGCATCATCCACAGCCTTCAGTTATTTCAGTAATAATTATATACTATTTTAATTATTAGTGACAATGAGTTTTCTTCCCCACACCACAGTGGGTCAAGCCATCTTTGCCAAGAACCATCTGGGACTTTTTTGTTCTGCATTCTTCCCATTTCCCTGCAAATACCTCGAAAAATCTTAACAAAAACCTGGTGTCTTTATATATATCCAGTGATCCTCAACCTAATTGCCCATTAAAATCACCAGGAAGCTTTTCAAAAAAATACTGATTTTCAGGCCCCAATTAATTTAGACTCTGAAAGTACTTTTTAAATCTTCCCAGATGGTCTGATGTGCAGCCAAAGTTAGGAACCCCTGCTTTAGGTCTTTGTTCTTGAACCATCCTTTCCCTTCTCTTCCATTTTTCATGTATTGGAATCCTACTTGTTCTTCAACTTCATATTCAAGTATCACCTCCTCCATGAAGGCTTTTCCAGGAATCTTTCCTTGCTGGTCAATCAATATGGATTCCCCACACTGAGCTTCTAGAGCATTGGTTTAGCATTTTACATGTTAATTTTCTGTTTCCCCAGAAAGATTGTGAATTCCCTCATGCAAGCTGTCTCATACATCTTTTTTTAATCCCTTAGGCTTAACAAATTCTATTTGTTGAATTAAATTTAACTGTTCAGGAAGTGGAACAGAAGTACTATTAACTTCCTCCTCAAAAACATTTAGGGTAACAGATTCTTAATTAGTTAGTGGATCATGACTGGTTTCAAAAATAAAGCATTCCATGATGTTAGTATGCTCTCCTACTTCAGAACAAGCCTCAAAGCCTCCAGACAAAAGGACACCCCCTTTCTTCTCTTGGTGAAGGGTAAGAGGACATTGACCCATAGTCCCTTTTTAGACAAAGTGTGGTCAGTGGACCAGCAACAGCAGCTGCATTGCCTAGGAAGCATGTCAGAAACATAAAAATCACAGTCCCTACCCCAGACCTCCTGAATCAAAATCTGATTTTAACTAACTCTAACGCCATTCCTGTGCACATTAAAGTTTGAGGAAACATTGCCATCCACTTTCTCTTCTAACTTCTTTTACACTTTCTGTTTTACTCTACAAAACTGCTTTCGCTCTCTGAAGATTTGCCTGCGGAAAATCTGGAGATTTCCTCCACGGAATCTATAAATCATTATTCTATAAAAAAGTGCCATTCATCTTCTCTAATGATTCTAAACTCCATCAACATTTCAGATCACCTAGGGTGCTTTAAAAGGTATCAATACCTAGTCTCTCACCCATAGAAATTCTGTCAGTGGGTCAAGGAGATATGGACCTTAATATTTTTAAAATCACTGATCTACTCCATATTTCCTCTTTCAAGAAGAAATTCTCAAGCTAGAACAACCACTAGTTTTATTCTTTAGTCTTCCTTGATGTCTTCCCCAATGCCTGATAATTCTTTGGTCAAGAAATTGGAGGGCATGTCCATGGAAGATGTAAATCCCATTGAGCTTATCAATAAGCATTTCTAAGATGATCACTTTCCAATGACCAAAGGAAAAACCAGTTTGGTCATCACATCAAACTCAACCCAGTATGAACCTGACCATTGCAATACTTTGATCTTTCTGAAATAGATTTTTACTGAATAGAGTATCTTTTACTATTTTCTCCTCAAGCTTGCTTTGTATGTTTTCTTTTCCAAAAAAAACAGGTCAAAGGTAGGATGAAGGATAAAGTCTTTCAGCAAACCATGAGAAGTTATGCAGAATGGTCAGTAGTATATATTGGTAACCAAAGGAAAGTGCTTGTTGAGAAGTCTTTCATTTTACCCTTACCTTCATCTTCATAGATTTTTCTTACCCTCTCCTTGGCTTCCCTGAAGAAATGAACACATAAGAGGCTACCTCTGTTTAGGGTGGGTGAGTGGAGCATTTTTGGAAATGCTGACATGATAAAGGCTCTAAGCAATAGGTTTCACACAACTCTTAGCAAATCAGGGGGAACTCACAAGAATTCCTTAAGCCTCATGAAGATTAATGCTCTATTATGTTCTGTGAACCTGGGGCAAGAATTGGAGCTAAATTTGCAGACAGCTTTGGCAGATTTATGTCTACCCCTGAGATGAATAACATACACGGAATTTTAGAAGTGAATTCTGTGTAAAGTCCATCACAAAGCACATGAAATCACTTCATAGGCCGCAACACAGTTAAATCTCCCTTAGGCACTGGGAAGCTCCTTTAATTATTTCTTAGCTATAGCCCATGGTCCTGGAATAAAAGGCTGAATCCCAGGCTGAACTTTGAGTTTGTTCACTCATGCAAGTTGGTTAACCTTTTGCATGTTTTTTGCGACTTTTCTTTTTTGGCCCCATTTTCTTTTCTTTTCTTTTTTTTTAAATTGAAATCTAATTGATACATTCCTCCACTTTCTTAGATGAGCCAAATGCCACCAAGAACCAAGAAATGAAAATGCCATTGGGAGGAAAACGTGCATTGTTTTAATTTTGTTTTGTATTATGAGCTGTGTTCTGACTGTATTGTTTCTAAACTTGAGAAACTTACATAACTGCAGAGGTCCATCTTATGAATATTTAATATAAAATCCAAAGAATATCCATCTCATCAGAACAAATAAAAAAAATCAAAATTACTCACCCAACATATGTGTTCCTGTCAGATCTTGTGGATTTATTGGAAGCAGGTAAATTTGAAGCCATAGTTTCTACTACGTGGATAGTCATTCTTAAGTTGATGTCAGGAAAGAAAAATATTGTGATTTGCTCTTAAATTATATATCAAATCATAGTAGTTCAGCTCTAAGTTAGAATGATACCCTCCTTTAAAACCTATGCTTTCTTCTAAAATTGCCAGTGGAAATTTTTCCTGAGTATTCTAAAGCCCCTTATCAATACAAAAATACTCTCCTCAACATGGCCTTTTTTACTCCAACCCAGCTCTCAGAAGCACCTCCTCAAGAAGATGGGCTCTCTTTGAAGGTGTGGCATCTTGTCTTTTTGACCAGGCTGGTTAGTTTGTTAACTGTTGACCAGTGAACCTTTCTCTCACATCTGGCCTTGCTTGGTCCAGCGTGGGTCTGGTGTAGCACACTGACATTTATTTTGAGACAACTGTACATGGATGTGAGTCCTCCATTGATTTCCATAACAACTCTGCTGGGTTATCTCAAAAAAGTGTGTCCCAAAAATGTCCCACTTTACAAACATTTCATTTTCTTACCCCTACTCTATCTCTCACCAACTCAGTCTCATTCTTTGTGATCAGAAGTGAGGAAAACATCCAAAGTCTGGACCTCAGAACCCCTTCATCTGAACTTTGCTTGTTCAAAATCATACAGAAGTTCTGATAATTAAATAAAATCTGTTTCCCAGGGTTTCTTCATTTAGCTAAACCTAACCCAAAATCCAATTGTCAGGGGTCAATCCAGGTAGAAAAATGAACTGCATAAAATCTTAAAAAAAAAAAAAAAAGAACTGCAGTCCAATATTTTTAGAAAACAGAGTTTCTGTTAAGAAATCCATGATTTCGGGACGCCTGGGTGGCTCAGTTGGTTAAGCAGCTGCCTTTGGCTCAGGTCATGATCCCAGCATCCTGGGATCAAGTCCCACATCGGGCTCCTTGCTCAACAGGAGCCTGTTTCTCCTTCTGCCTCTGCCTGCCTGTGCTCACTTTCTCGCTCTCCCTCTCTCTGACAAATAAATAAAATCAATCTTTAAAAAAAAAAAAAAAGAAATCCATGAATTCCTGGGCTCCTGGGTGGCTCAATGGGTTAAATGTTCGACTCTTGATTTCATCTCAGGTCATGAGCTTAGGGTTGTGAGTTCGAGCCCTGCATCAGACTCCATACTGGGGGTGGAGCCTGCTTCTCTCTTTCACTCTCCCTCTTCCCCTCCCACACCCCTCCCCAACTTGCATGCTCTCTCTCTTTAAAAAAAAAAAAAAATCCGTGAATTTTCCACTTTGGGGTGGAAAATCTAAAAGACTTCAGAGGAACTTAATCTTGATCCTGTTTTGCCACTTTATGCTTTTGGGGTGGAAAATCTAAAAGACTTCAGAAGAACTTAATCTTGATCCTGTTTTGCCAGCTCTCATGGCACTCAGCTAAAGTTCCATGCTGATAAGAGCTTCAAGAACATTAGTTCTCACCATTTTCAAACAAACCAGAGCTCAAAATGTTCATAAGCGCCCGAACAACAACAAATACAAGACTTTGCATAATGTGAATGGATTTCCCTTGTAAGAATGTGCATGACAGTAAGTAATCAAGTGTCCATATCCTACCTGGGATCTCCATGTCAGAAGATGCTCCTCTTCGTGGTGATAGTCAGTCTGGACAAATTCCTCGAACTCCATGCTGGCCTCCTTAGGTCCATCTTGGCCAGGGAACAAAGCTTATAGAATGAGACAGAAAGAGACTAGAGAACCATTGTAGCAGCCTAAATCTTTCTGCTGCTACCACCAAATAGATGTTTGTAACTTTGCCCAAAGATTAAAAAATCCCTGAAGAAAATGATCTCAGTACAGGTAATGACAACTTGGAGGCAAAATAGCCCTGAATACTGTGTTGCATCTGTGACTTGGGACAGTAGTAGCTGCTTGTAGTTTACAGTGATACATGTGTTTCTTACGTCATGACCCACCTCCAACAGCTCCACCTGCTGTCCCTTTCCAATGACCACTGGCCGTTCGGAGCCACGGCATGTCCACTTACCACCATGAAGTCTCCACACTTCTACTTGGTATTCTGTGCTGCATGTCTCCATTTATTTTTAAGGTATAATGAGGAGGACCACCGAATTCCAGTCTGGCATTTACCTCTGGCTCTGACAGGTGAAACTGTTAGCTAATTAGATAAGTGTTAGATAATTAATGACTCCTGTGAATTCATTAGACTAATTAACAAGTCTGTTTCCAGTGCAAATTCTGTCAGCCAATGGTCTCGATCACGAACTGTACCAGAGAATGCTGGCAAGGATTGATGGACCCCATACAACAAGTCCCTGGGACATTAAGGCAAGAGGTCATCATTTGGGTGAATTGCAGAATAGTTTTGTAGAATCTATGAGAGCAGAGTACTCATGAATGTCTTCTGGCTTGTCTTCAATTATTTACCCTAGATTTCAATCTTTTCAGACTCAATCCTACTCTTAAGGTAGGTTGTTTCTGGATTTTTTTTTTTTTAAGTGTATTGCAAAAGGCCAGTCACCTCAATGGCAAAGAATTAAAAAGCTTTCATTTTTAGGAAGCATGTATACAGACTGCATGAGGCAAACAAAGGCCGTCCCTGGGTGTTGTACAAACAAAGGCCGTGCGCCAGGCAGCACTGGGTGACTCAGCCAGGCCTTAAGGTCAGCCCTGCCTTGGCTCTGCCAGATCCCTGCTCAGACAAAACCCCTTCCTTCCCACTGTCTTTCTCCACAGTGCCAGCATTTTCATATTCTCACTCCTATGACCATGCTGTCTCTGCACCTTTAATGCTGGAGAAAAGAAATCAGAGTCCTTGTGTACGACAGGATAACATCTGGGTGACTCTGCATTTGGCACGCTTTCTGCTTAACCTGTGGGATGCACCCTTGTAGACATAGAACCATACCCATTCCCCAAAACAGTGCTCTTTTCACTCTGGGGAGGGGCAGGGCTAGGAGGATGGCTCCAAGAACCTTGCTGTAAGGGCTGGGCATCTGCCTCATGCCAGGCCCTGTGCTCAATTCTGAGAACACAAAGAGGGTGAGATGGATGGTGTCTGCCCTAAAGGCATTGACACTCAAGTGGGGGAGAGAGATGAGCCCTAAAGAATATGACAGGTGTTATGAAAACTCAGTGAGGCCCTGAGCCCAGCAGTGCGGGATGGGCTGGGCGGAGAATGCAGGGGCCTCTGGGAGGATGTGATGCATGAGCTGTGTTTTGAGGAACGATGTAGTCGCCAAAAATATCACTGGGGGGTGGGCGTGAATAGGAGAGGCCTGTGCTCCTGGCCCAGGGAACGGTGTGTAAAATGCAGAGAGGTGATGGAGAAAGGGTTTCATTTAGGGAACGATTAGTAGCAGTATGTGCTTTTACTTCCATGCATGTGTGTGCCCCAGAACATCTCAGACAGGGCCATGGTGGCTTTCTGGTTTTAAAATTCTGGCATTTTTTAAAAAATCAAGAAAGGCCAAAATGGGGTTATCCTAGTCCTACTTTAAAAGTTTGCACTTAATGGGGGCACCTGGATGTCTTAGTTGGTGAAGCATCTGTCTTCAGCTCAGGTCATGATCCCAGGAACCTGGGATTGAGCCCCGCATTGGGAGGCTGCTTCTCCCTCTCCTCCCTGCTCATGCTCTCTCTCACTATCTTTCTCTCCCTCTCAAATAAATAAGTAAAATACTTTTTAAAAAATTTACACTTACCAAATTGGCATCTTAACTCTTTTAATAAAGAATCACAGTTAAATTGTGCCACAAGACAATGCAGGGCTTAGAAAAATATTTCTTAATTCATCCCACACTATAAGTTTGATAGAACACAAGTTTAAGAGTAGCAAATATCACATCTTGTTCTAGACCAAATACTCTCCCACCTTCAGGCCCGCTAGGCCAGGCCTGCCTTCCTGAGGCCATGCTTGGGGCTCTTTGCCTTTCTCCCAAGACCAACCCTTTCTGCCCTGGGCCCAGAGTCTCTGCTCTGAGAGCGCCTCTCCATGAGGCACCTACAGAAGGTCCTATAGTTCACCTAAGGCTTGCAACAAGCACTCTTGCCCAGGAAACAATCACACAAGGGAAAACACACACACACACACACACACACACACACACACACACACACACCCTGCAAGAGACAGGGGTGGCAATGCACAGTAAAGTCCCCACCTCCATCCTTTCTTTTGTCCCCTCTTTCT